CCCCCCCCCCCAACAAAAAACAAAAAAGACAGGCAAAACGATGTAAAAAACAAATAATGATTAGAGAAATTCTCCGAGCCTTATTCAATTCTGCCCGAACCTGCACCAAGGTATGTCACTCCTACATCGGCAATATACTCACCGACCTCGCCTATGCTGTGAGCTCAGAAGACTTCTTGTAACTTCTTTTCCAAGGACTGTCTACAGGAGTCTTGCGGACATAATCACGAAAGCTAGGTCTGTGGAGCTTGCGGGAGTTGACGTTTGACGTTTACCATTCACACACATACTAGTAGAGAACCAGGTCGAAAAAGCGTGCATGACCTATCTGATCCTTTCTCAATAGTGCAATGGGACTTGTAGGGGGCGGGAGGGGGGGGTGCGCCACCACAAATGATCGGTTCGGAGTGATCAAGGTGGCAGCAATATTGTAATTACAAGGTCGGGGGGCTTCCCTCCTTTGGTCCCCCCCTCCCCGCCCGCATTAAGGCCCATCTGTACGCAAGATAGCAACTTGCGTTTTGTCTTTACGCGGCCGAGTGCGTCTACGCAGGTTTGAAGTTGCTGCCTCAGTAAATAGCTAACCTGCCACCATGACAGGTCGAAGCTGCTCGTAGATGACCGAGCTATTGCTTTTCCGGAAGCTTGGTCAAGGTACTACGGTACGACACGATTGTATCTGTATGTGGGCCAGTGTAATGCAGAAGAACGCTATATCATTGCAGGTTGAAGCTTCATGGCAGTACGAATGTGCTTGCATCCACGCTGCCGAGCATGCGCGCAGTAGCGACCGAAATCTATCGACTCTCCTTCCTTTTTCCTGCCCCAGCTTTCGTGGCCGCTTCTCAAGTTCACTTGCAGTGGCACGTCTGCTGAGACGATGTGCAACCCAAAGTCCAGCGTGAGATTCCGTGAAGTGAACATCTTGCGCCGAGGCCTGCAAAGACGGTCGCAGCGACAGCCACACCAGGCCCATTCGGTGTGACTGCCAGGCTTTTGGCTCGCGAGAAGTCGCCAGTTATCGTCTTAACAATTTTGTGGGGTGATTGTGCAACACGCTGGCAAGGAACCAGACCAGACAAGGGAATTCAGCTGTGGGGGGTTGCTTAAGCCTAAGCTGCTCCGAGAAAAGACATCCCAGCATCAATTTCAGTCCTATCCAAAGCAGCCAAAGCATCAAGGGTACGAGAGGATGCTACTGATGCTGTTTGGATCACTGCTTACTGCTGCTGCTGGTCGTCGTTGTCTTCGTCGTCATACTCGTAGTAGTAGCCACCTTCCACAATTACTACGCCTCCTCCTCCTCCTGCTACTACAAGTAACTACTGCTACTACTGCTCCCACTCCTGCTACTACTGCTAGTACTGCTGCTGCCGCTGCCGCCACCGCTGCTGCTGCTGCTGCTGCTGCTACCGGGGCTATGCTTATTCCACTGCTGCTTTTACTACTGCCTTCAACTACTGCCAGTGCATTTGCTATTGCCAACGACTGGCACCCAGCTTCGCCTACCAGTATGGCTGCCGCCTGCATCGATTTGCTGGGTTGTGTTGATCTGCGCACTGCGTGACCGGAGGATACTCGCCGACCATGACGATGATGCACTCAGTGGCCACTTGCCCGAACTTCTCTGAAGGAATCCCGAGACATCCTAAACACCGCAGCGTCATGTTGTTTGGTCTCTTTCCTGGCTAGAACAGAACCAGGCGCTTGTTCTGTAGATTCAGGAGCCATGCATAGCAAGAATTCTTGTGGAGCATCGGACTGTAGCTTCAACTCAAGAGAGTGTGAGACACATGTGCAGTCGAGTGAATATGAAGTACTGACGGAGACGGGCCGTTTTCGGTGTCGTCACACAGCAGTGTAGTCGGTCCTCGGAGTCTTTCAGCGCAAACCTAATTTCACAGTTCGTCGCGCAGAGCTCTCGCACGGCATCCAATCGCTGCCGCTGCCGAGGCCTCGGATGCAGGACAGGCGTCGCCTGAGATTGATCAGGCGAGCTGACTTGCTTTGCCTGAGCAGGGCCAAGCCAACCTCAGAGGAGGACTTGCCTCCTTCACTTCAACCGTCTGCTCTGGAGGATCATGGCAAAGGGCCAGAATACGGCCTCCTCTGTTGCATTGAGTGGTTTCATCCGTAAGGCTCAACGATTGTCGAGTGTTGTACTTTGTTCAGGTCAGTCAGTGCAGGCACTGCGGAAAGTTCCGCGTCTCGTTGGATGTCGGAGAATTACGGCTTACACACCTGAAATCTGCCTTTGGACCCCCGGGCGAGACCTGACGTCACAGGAGGAGAGGTGTTCTGCTCCGCAAATCCTGTAAACATGATGTCGTCCACTCAGAGCTTCCGGACTTCCGGCAGACCAGACGAAATCCCCCGACTCCAGCAGCTGCAAAATTCAGCAGCCGGCTGCTGGTGTGCACGCACAGCTTCAATCTTTTCTGGTAGGCAGTGCAAAACAACCACCACAAGCAACTGACTGAAGACACTGAGCTCGGTTACTTGTGGGCAGGCTTCCGGCGATGCTCCTCAAGGCCTACTGCTTGCATGCTGCAGTGCCGGCAGTTTCCTGTCCAAGCAAACAACGTGAAACCCACGAAGGTGATTCAACTCGTTGAATTAACTTTGCATGGTCCCTTTTTGCCGTTTCTCTAACAATCTAAACAAGCACCTGCAACCAGCCACTTTCTAGTTGTTCAGGTGAGTTTTTCATGAGGCGTTAAAGTACGGGAGAGAGAGTGAGAGCCGTTATTTTTGGCTCAAGTCTCTGGTCCACCGGACGACCTGGTGGGAGGCCTTGAGGCTACTCGCCATGAAGTTTGGCTCATAAGGGCCCAGGCGCAGCGCAAAGACCACTGACCCTGGCCTTTCTCCCAAAGACGAGTCGTCCACCTCTGCAATGAACATCAATGCGCATTCTACAGGAGTTGGCCAAATGCCACTGGCACTCCATGCAGTTGACGTGGGCTTCTGGCCCAGTCGCAGTCCCTTACCACAGGGACCACAACAGCGACTGCGGACCGTGGAGGAGCTGAGGAACATCGTTAACTATCTCATCGTGGGATAGCATGAAATGGGGCAGGTCCCCAAACTTTGCACTGTGTGGGAGCAAAGCCACACCCAGAACACCGGCTACAGCGAGAGCAGGGGACGACGGGGCCGTGCCACTGGCACCGGCAGCCAGGCCGTCTTCGTTGAGTGAACTTCATGAGGGGCTGACCGACTGAATGACTGACTGCAGTGAACGACTGCTTGCCTGACTGACTGGTTGAGTGGCTGCTGAAAAGCTGACTAACTGACTCACGAACGAACGAAGAAGGAAGGAAGGAAGGAACGGATGAAACCAACAGTCGAACGGGCGAACGATGGAGCTACCGACCGACAGACCGACCGAACGAACGAATGAACTGACGAACCAACGAACTCACTGCTTACCGACTTTAGCCAGCCGCCTGCTGACCTACTTACCTACCTACCTACCTACCTACCTACCTACCTACCTACCTACCTACCTCCCTGCCTGCCTGACTGACTTATTCATTCGCTCACTCACTCACTCGAACACTATCCGGCTAGCTAGCTAGCTGGCTGGCTGGCTGGCTAGCCAGCTAGCTAGCTAGCTAGTCAACTAACCAAAACAACTAACTAACTGCAAACCAGAAAACTAACGAACAAAAACGACTGAACTGACTGACTGACTGACTAACTGCTGACTAACTAACTAGCTAACTAACTATAACTAACTAACTAACTAACTAACTAACTAACTAGCTAGCTAGCTAGCTAACTAACTAACTAACTAACTAAGTAACTAGCTAGCTAGCTAGCTAGCTAGCTAACTAACTAACTAACTAACTACCTGGCCAGCTGGCTAGCTAACTAACTAACTAACTAACTAACTAACTAAGTAGCCAACCAACTAACTAACCAACCAATCAACTAGCCAACCAACTAACTAACTAACCAACTAACTAGCTAACTAACTAACTAACCAACTAACCAACTAACTAACTAACTAACTAACTAACTAACTAACTAACTAACTAAAGCAGCAACGATCCAACGACCGAACGAACGAGCCAACGAGCAAACGACCTCACCAACTCCATAGGAACTAACCAATGAATGATCTAAACAAACTAGTGGACGAACGAACGAAGGAAGGAACGAAGGAACGATCTGACGACCTCACGATCACCGAATCTACGAATCAACTAGCGGACGGACGGGCGCACGAACCAACGAACAAAACGAGTGCGCGAAGGAATGAACTACGTAACCACGACGACGACGAACCCCGACGACGACTACGACTGCGATGGCTACGACGTGGCGATGCCGATGACGACGACGACGACGAGGTGCGTCGCCTCCGCCGATCTTGTTTCGAGAGATGCGCTTGCAGTTGATCAAAGAATCGGGTGCCCTTTGAAACAGAGAGGGAGAGACAGAGAGAGACATTCGCCTTTGCAGGTGCAATTTTTTTTGGTTGTGGTTTGTTCCTAATTATTCTGCTCAGCACATGCTTGGACGTCATGTTGTAGATGGGGACATGATGGATGAGCCCTGTTACACTATGACCCGTGAATACCCTATGCTCTTTCATGGTACTTCCTCTACTGCTGCGAACCTCGTTCATAAGCGGGGACCTTAGCCACGTGTTGCCACCCCGTAACATGCGGGCGGGATTGCCGCCTGCCCGGAAGGCGGGGGAGGGAGTTGCATATGTGTACAGTGGTACATACTTGCGGCTTACCTACCTCTGACAAACCACGGACAATCAGTACACTGTCTTCGTTCGCAAACAGGCGCCTACGCCTCGCTGGTGGCGTCACCGAGTTACACGCCGCCGAATCAGGCACCCAAGCGATCACGATCTTTCCCATGTGCCCGCGAGGAATAGACTGGCGGACCTGCAGGGCTTCCTCCCTCTCTCCCTCTCTCTCCGCCTCTACCTCCTAACCTGAGTTGATCAGGCGGGTTTTGCAAGGTGTTGTGAACTGTGCCACATTGCCATGATTGCCATTCTGTTCGGACACATAGCGGACTGTATGACAAGGCCGCAACTTAGTAATCGCAGCCGGCACTAGGGTTCTCAACACCGCTTGAAGGTGGGAGTTGCCCCGCCAGCGGCGAAGAATGTCGTTTACTCGCAGTCGGCTGGTGTCACGGAAGTCGCCGAGGATAACAAGAAGCTTGTCATGTGTCTTTCAGGGCTTGCCTCGTGCAGCTCTAAATGGTGTTGTATAATAACCCCGAGCCTCAGTGTTCAGTCTTGGCACGTCCCTGCCTGTTTTCGTTTAGTGATTTTCTGTGGAAAACCGAAGACAAAAACAAGCAAACGATAACACCATAATTATGGCAAAAACCCCCGAAGATCCAAAACTCAAAACGATGCATTTCCAGTGCTAAAGTTGCACTATAACCAAGCACAATCCAGCCAGGACCCCAAAAGAGGCATTTCCAAAGTTGTACTACAACCAAGCACAGGACCTCAAACGAGGATTTCCGGTCCTAAATTTGTACTGCAGCCAAGCTCAATCCAGCAGGAGCGAAAACGAAGCACCGTAGTAAAGTTGTACCAACAGCAGGATTGGTGGTGCTGATTGGTAAAGGATGGCAAGAAAAACGATAACCCAATTCCGGGATAGGGAAATTTGTACGGGGGTATTTTGCTACCCCAAATGTGTTTGCATCTCGAGGAGGAGATGCAGTCGCTCTTTGACGACGATGACGAGGCATTTGCAAGCACGTGTGCATGCATACATGTGTGTGTGTGTGTGTGTGCGCGTGTGTGCGTGCGCGGGTGCGTGTGTGCCTGTGTGGGTGCGTGTGTTCCATCCGTCCGTCCGACACCACCCAGAAGTTGCCAGGACCTTCTCAGATACGAAGCCCCGTCGACGGCAGGCCATGGTCGTGACTGCCTACATGCGAGGTTGTAGAAGTTCCCAACATGGAACATGGGAGTTTGTCGTGCTCGCGGCCTTTGTGCCAGCAGGCCGTCCCCCGGAGTGAGCAGCGAGCTGCCGCCGACCTTCAACTTCCATACCACAAGCCATGGCTGCCAGCCTAGGCGAGATGTGCTCGCCCCACTTAGCCCGCACGGATGAGGATCCAAAGCTTTGAGAATCCGACTCGACGGTGCGCGGTCACAAAAGTGAAGATCAATGCATTCACTTTTCTACACAAAGATTTAAGGAGCCCAACGGCCTATAGCATCAGAGAGGATATTTGTTGTTTCCCCATGGTCGCATGAAGCCAACACATGCGAAAACACTCCGCCAGTTAAACGCAGAGACTGTCGAAGGTTGAAGTCAGCTCCAAAGCGGAAAACTTGATCTCGGCTTCTTGCCGCTATTCTTTCGAAAACAGCCACATGCCTGAACATGTTGTGTGTCAAACTTCGCGATGGGTGGCAGGGGACCGGAAGGAATCCTTGGCCCCATACCGTGCCTCAGTACACTTGTCATAAAACTCCTTGATGTAAGACCCGAGCCTAGTCGAAGTTGCACTTGGTTTGAGGAGCTCCCTCGGGTGTTGATGTCCGAGAAGAACTTTGAAATCTGGATCGAGGACAGGTTTCGAGAATAGCCGAGAGGTGCGGTCAGAGCTGAGCAGCTGAGCTGCCAGGACGTCCAGGCTTTGCGCCCCGATGCCCTCCGCGGGGACCTGGCGGCGCTCCAAGCAGGAGCTCCGCTCTTGCGCCAGGCTCCGGCGCTACGCCGTATGGGTTCGTTCCCGCAGACCGGGGGGGGGGGGGGGGGGGGNNTGGGGCTTGGTTCTGGAGCATGGGAGTTTTCGCTGTCAATTCCTTCCAAAGCTCCTTGGTTCTTTGTCTTTGTGGCGAAAGGCTTCACGAGAGATGTGTGGCTGTGTCAAGGTCCAGTCATGTACTATGAGTGACACCTCACGGAGAGTTTTATGGGTTACAACTCAGGGATGTCAATTTATTGAAGCTACCTGAACTGGGCAATCGTCCAAGCCGCACTGCAAGGGGTTTCATGCTGGTACAACACGAACTGTGTTGAAAGAGCATTTGCAAACCGAAGAGACTATGGACGCGACGTCCATGGCTCCAGCCTCCAGCCATCGCTCGCAAGAAGTTTGATTCAGAAATTTGGCTCAAGCTTCGCTTCCACAAGCGGCTCCACCACTCCAGGGCCCTGCAGATAGTCAGTCTGCAACCGTCTCATGGAAACCTATATGTGTGGTCCGTAGTTGTACGACACCATCGACCCATTGACTGCGTAATTCAGAGGGCTGGCTATCAGTCACAGCAGCCTTGCAATGGGAACCATTGAAGGCAGGCCAGCGGGCGCAAATGCGCAATTCGGCTTTCTGGCGGCAAAGTTCGTTGTGGAGGGTTTCCGAGATGCATGCGTGCCTCGTATCGGCTCATTGAAGTTCGCCCGCTTCTCTCCCAGTGGATGATATCGGAGCTGTCCTGTCTGATCGCAAGAACGGACGACTCGGACTGTGACTCTTGGGCCCAGGCTGTTCCTGCCACTGCGGAGGGGGAGCTGGCGGGCGACGAGCTTGGATTCCGAAGCGTTTTGAGCCGTCTGCCATATTGAAGGACCAGGATCAGTGCAGAATGTCAGAATGTCCAATTCTGTGGCTTGAGGCCAGGGCTAAAGCGCCAAGACTCAGGAGGGGTAGCTGTCGGGAGACCCAGTCAATCAGTCCAGTGCTGGAGGGGGGGAGTCAGAGCAGCCAGCAGCCAGTGTCAGCGACCGCACTTTGAACGGACAACACTATCTATCCGAACAGGCATTCCTTCCGTCCTGAGTTCACAGCACAGAGCCAGAGGGTGTTGGGGCTTTCCCTGTCTGAGGGGGAGCCAGGGAGTTAACTTGGGGCTTGGGTCTTTAGGGAGCCTTGCCGGACTACGCCGACGCATTTGGGCTTGTAGGAGTCGGAGCGCGAGCGAAGCCCTCAGCCCGGGGAATGGTCTGGTAGTAGGGCAGGGCAAGTATACACACACACATATATATATATATATATATGGATGGATATAAAGGCAAATGTATGCACGTGGCTATATTCGTGTCTGCCTGTACAGTTTTGTACGCATGGTATTGCCATGTACATGCCAATTTGTGCAAGCATGGAGTTTGTCAAAAGGTGGATAGGCAGACAGGTGGATCGACAAACGGGTGCTCCGAGCGCATGCGTACAGGATCGTACACTCGCTGCTGTCATGTGTCAGGCAGCAGAGGTTCCAGTGCGCGTCGCCTCCTCACCTGACGTGAAGACTCACGAGGTGATACCGAATGACTGTTGGGAGCCTTGAGGGCCATCCAGGTTCTGAGCAGTCAAAGCCAACAGGGTCTTGAGGAAGTGAGGTGTTGCGACGATGGATACGGTCCTCCAGCAGTTCAGCAGAGCACAGCAGAGCAGGCATGCGTGGCTTTTCATGCTCCGAGCCTGTGCCCATCTCTTGTCGCGCTACGAACAGCAAGAAGCATAGCACAAAGCCCTGTAATGCCTTTGGTGATAATAAGCCAACAGTCGCTCAATTTGCGAGGAGACGAAGGGCCGGAGCGATGCTTCGCCATCGCAGCTGTCGATTTCAAAAGCCGCTGTGCAGGCTATAGGGGTTCGGGGACGACGACGAAGACGCCTACTACTACCGCAACTATCACTGCCACAACCACCAGTACCTATGTCCGTCTTGCCGCACAACGCAGAAGCCTCAAATGGTCAAGACACGAGTCCATTGGAACATCTCGTACGTGCTCTGGCGTGATTGCTTTGCTCTGTGCGGGTTCTAGAATGGCTAGCTTGGCAGATCCTGTCCAGCTGATTCTGCGCTCATTGAATCGAAGTCTTGTTTGCCAGTCTTTGCACAGCCTTGCAGGCAGCTCACAACTTGGCCACAGGAGTCTCAGACTCCACCCAGCTCATGTCGGATGCCGACGAGCCGGCTGGGGTCCCAGACGTGAGCAAATCAAAAGCTGGAAAGGCTAAAGCATGCCAGACGCGTTCAGTTAGGGTTCCGGTTAACCCCACCCTGACCTGGAACCCCAACTTTAACCTGAAGTTCGAGTTCAAGTTAAGACCGAGCTCCAACCTCAAGGTGGAGTTGGAGTTGACCCAGCTTCCAAAACACGCTCAGAAGTTTTTGGCCCAAACCATAGCATCAGGTTCGGATTCGACCAAACCCCAACTCAAGGTTAGGATTCAAACGGTTACAACGTTTGACTCCGGTTTGGCCTGAATAGTTGTAACTGAATTTAACTCCAACTCTCAACCTTTAGCTTCGGGAAAATCCTGCATAACGAAAAAACTCTGTAGTCCCTCGCAGCAAAGCCTCCGTCAAACTGGCATACGCTGCGGGTGGAAAAGAGGTTATAAAAAGCAAAGAGAACACTGTGCAGAAACGTCGAAGCATGATGAAGAAGCGGACATACCCTTCATCGAATAGTAGTGCAGTATGGGGCGGCACTGGAGATTCTGCAGTTGAAGCTTTGTCTCTTCGCAAAGCAATGACGAAGTGGAACTTACTGCAGCGGCTTCTTGGCTTAGGGGCTGGAGTCCATTAGAACGCGACAGTACATCAAAGGCTCCCTCTGGCGAGTCCAAATTGAAGCTTGGGACCCAGACTGTGTTTCCGCATTGGGCTGCAGCTTTGACTCACTTTTCACCGGGAGGTCCCACTGCACGCTCGCGGATCGACCCAGCTGTGATGCCGTTGCTACATGCCGAGCTTGCGTCTGACAGGGACATCTTGGTTCAAGACGGTCGCATGAGACAACACTTCTGACCACACATCTGGAGACAGGGACAGCCCCAATCACGCTCAAGTCACCACCCGCGGTCCTGCGGTGAGTTTGCTCAGCCACGGCCAGCATGCCATCGCCCTCGCTCCAGGAGCAGAACGGTGAGCAGTTCCTCGCTGAAAGACAGCGCAGCAGAGCATCACTGCTGCACGCCGCTGCACACAAGCCGAGGTTTGCTGCGAACACGCTCTCGGAGCAGGCTCGAGCTAGGGCGCATGCCGTCCTCTCAGCCTGGTGAAATCAAGCCAGGATGGTGAAGATTTCAAGATCTCCCAGTACCATCCGGTAGTGCCGCGGCAATAATAAGTTATGAAACATCTCTCTTCACTCTGAGTTGGATCTGCATGGATCTGCAGTCCTTCATTGTGTTAGGGTTCATGACGGCGTTGCAGGTCATAAAGCAGATGCTCCCGCCGGTTTTCTGAGATTGTTGTTTCAAAAGTACATCTGCCCAGAAGCCTGGTAACCTGTCACAGAATCGCAGCTGATCTCAAGCATGAAGGGTCGTTCGGTCTTACTCGCGGCTGATTTATCTGACCAGAAGTCTGTATAGGTCCCTCGGCCTTCTCATCTCCAGTCTCCATGCGAATGTGTCATTCTCTGCATGACATTTATCTGACCGGTCTTGCCGTCCGGACCGCGCCGAGGCTCGAAAACATCGGCCGCGAAAAGACGACTCCGACCAGAAGATCAGCCTCGAGAAGCTGGAAAGAAGCCTCGAGGTGGGGACTTGCGACGGTTTCACCCACATGGGAAGAAGTACTGGTAGCGCGAGAAAGGCACTGACTCTGCCCCAATGCCAGGGAGAGGGAGAGGGAACATTCATTACATCGCTCCGCAACAGTCGGGCGCGCTGACGCGCGCGGGCAAGCGGGGCCAACCCTCTTGCCCCTAGCCCTGGCGAAAGAAAGGGGAACACGCGCGCGATGGGGGGCAACTCCGCACCCTCACCCGTCGAAAGAGCAAAAAAGACAGTTCCCCTGGAGAACTGACTGCGCTAGTGCTTCCATCGACTCGTGTCCCTTAAAAATAGTCGAGTGGACTAAAAGACATGTCAGGGGACCAAGACCAATTCTTTACATTGCTGTTCGTGTTGGGTTGCTTGTACTGCTGTGAGCCGGGGCCCAGCATGTCCGTCCACGCAGTGTTCCCAACGAAGCCACCACGAACCTAGTTTTGGAAGACTTTAGCTATGCATGTTTACTTGTTTGTTTTGCCTTGCTTGGTATTTGCCCCAGAATCAGTTTGAACTTGTAACAGAGGCTAAGAATAAGGATCCAGACTCAACCGCTGAAAACCTAGATGACTTGTAAAACTTGCAAATGTGATGGCGATGTCAGCGTGGGACGTGTGTCATCTAGTTGTTTTACCTTGTTCCCCACCCTCGGTGTGGGGTTGTTAGATTTTAAAGTCAGCTATTGCTCCTCGATCTCTGAGGCAACTTCTGGAGTGCCCAACCCCACAGACAACCGTGAGACTCCCTGGAGACTACCGTGAGACTCCCTGGAGTGCCCAACCCCACAGACAACCCTGAGACTTTCTGGAGTGTCCAACCTCACAGACTACGGTGAGACTCCCTGGAGTGCCCAACCCCACAGACTACCGTGAGACTCCCTGGAGTGCCCAACCCCACAGACTAGCGTGAGACTCCCTGCAGTGCCCAACCCCCACAGACTACCGCGAGACTCCCTAGAGTGCCCAACCCCACAGACAACCGTGAGACCCCTGGAGTGCCCAACCCCACAGACAACCGTGAGACTCCCTGGAGTGCCCAAAACCACAAACTACCGTGAAACTCCCTGGAGTGCCCAACCCCACGGACTACCGTGAGGGTGGGGATGTTCGAAGTAATATAATTGTTTGCCAGAAGCATGGCTATCGCTGCAACTGAAAGTTGAGGAAGTTCCACTTTGCACAACATGCCTGAGACGGCTGTATCTTAAGCTAGTTCGTAAGTGTATTGCGGGGGACAACACCGGTGCATGAGCCCAGTAATATATGCAGGTGTTCACAAGTCACAGGCTCTCCTTTCTGTATGCTCCACTGCTGCATGCATACTGAAGCCCGTGAGCAGGGGACAACTGTACACGAGCTCTGAGTCAGAAGGGATCCCGGGCGTTTTGATGACCCTTATGAGAGCCGGGGGAGCCACAGGAAGGCAGGCGCCTGGCCCAAAAAATCGTAAAGATGGCCGCAATGCTTACCAAAGTCAACACAGTGAGCTCTTGATGCGTTTTGTTGACTACAGCCGCAACAGTTTCAATTGCCTCGTAATATTCAGACCGCTACTAGCAAGCAAGCCCCCAAACGAGGCACTAGAGGTCCGGGGCACCAGATTTCTTCCTACAGCTTAGCCCATCCACGCGGAATGTTGGATGGGGTTGCTCCCTGGAGCGGTGGGTTGGGACTGCCAGCCACCTATACGCTTAGCAAAGCAAATCAAAGACGCGGCAGACAGTTCGCCCCTAATCCCCAACTCAGCAAGCAAGCAAGCAAGCAAGCAAGCAAGCAAGCAAGCAAGCAAGCAAGCAAGCAAGCAAGCAAGCAAGCAAGCAAAAGGCAGACAGAAAGAACCGAGAAATTTGTTTCCAAATCCTGTGCAAGAAGAAGAAGCAGAAGTGACGTGCACAATGCATGGCTATAGACTATGGACTGATGTGGAGTTTTCCAGTTTGGACTAACCGTGACTGCCTCAACCCTGCTATACATAGGCAAGTCAACTGACTTGGCTTTGGTTCTTGTATTGGCGACATGCAGGGGGATCAAGGGAAAAGGTTTGAACTAGAAAGATTCCTTGCGAGGTCCTCCACAGGCGACACCAGGAATCGTTGACAATGCTGGCGGACTTGCATCTCGAATGATGGCGAGTGTTTCATTTCAGAATCCTGATCACCGTCCTCATCGTCGTCAAGCCGCCGTCATCGTCCATTATCATCCTCATCAGCAGCAGCTACCGTGATCGGCATCATCACCTCATCGTTGTCATCAGGCCCAGGCCCCAAGAACAACCATTCACAACCACCGACAGCAACAGCACTGGCAGCCAGTTGGGGACCCCGCTTTTGAAAGCCGAGGGCTGCCGGTCGGGTCGAGCTGCATTCGTTTGTCGTGAATTTGGCAGCATAAAAACTGCGTGTATAGGACAAAGCCACATGAACTTGGACAGTTCAGGAAGGTTCTCATCAATATTACGCTAGTCTTTAGTCTTTAGTGCCGTGTCTGGTTTGCAAGCCGTTTGGGCCCTTCCCAGCAGAATCCAAGGCTGGCGAGCCTACCGGATTTGAGTGCTGTCACGGAGGAGGTCGGAAAGGGTTGCTCGCTCTCATGGGCAATGTGGAGCAAGCAGCTGGGGTCGTGCTGCATGTAGTCGGCATCTTGGGCCGCGTGCCCCCTCCTCCTCACCCCTGGACCAATCCCGTATCTGTGTTGCATCTGTAGAACTTGCAGTGGCTGCATAACATCCAGGTTGTGCGTCGAAGCTGGGATTCCAAGTTGAGGTAGCAACTTGTGGGATGTTCCGGGGCACCACGCCGACACTGAATGTCCAAAGCAGGAGCTACAGAAATGCGCAGTTTCTTTCAAGCCGACTTCATCCCAATCTCTTGAGCAAGCTGTCCGACTGCAGGTCAGTTCTGTGCCGGGCGGTCTCGGAGGTGCAACGAGCTGCGTACCGTGCATGCAGTCAGTCTGGGTTGTAGCTTCATGGCTTCTTCCCCAAATTTCCTCAACCCTACAAGTTCCGACATGAGTTCGGGACGTGCAGAAGAAACAAAGGACAGATCATAACAGATCTGCCGCAAACAGGACGCGCAAGCGGCATCAGGTGTTCGTTGTCTTTACGGCTGCGGCTGCTGCTGCTGATGCTGCTGGTGCTAGAGGAGGTGGTGGTGGTAACGGTGGTGTTTGTTGCTGCTGCCGTTGCCATTGCTGCTGCGCATGCGGTATTTACATGTATTTACGGTGATTCGTACCTGTCCCGTTTCCTTGGAATTCGGATGTTCTTTTTTTTGGGGGGGCGGCTTGAGTATTGGTGTTCAACAGATATTCCTGCGTGATTGCAACGACCTGAGTATTGTTCCCTGTCATTCTTGTTGTTTCTGTGCCGGGGTTGGGGGGGTAATGAAGTGCATGACTCCTGCGGCGCGATCCCTTCTTGTGGCGGCCGCGTCTGCTCTTTTGGCTGGGTGTACTCCAGATATATGATATGACTGATATGATGGTTTCTTGTGTTGATGTTGACCATGAAATGAAGAGGTGATCTTTGCCGTGCCGGTGATGACGATGAAATTAAGCAAAAGAAGAAGATGATGATGATGACTGTGATGGTGATGCTGATGACTGTGTTGTTGGTTCAGGCGTTAGGTTTCCTGCTGTTGGATTCTTTTGTTTCCAAAGTGAACGTTGCCCTGGGCCCCTACACTCACCACGCATCCAACATAAAAATGCTGGAAATGATGAAACGTGTTAACCATTACCACCACGCCATTTCCATGAGTGGGAAATTGGACAGCAACTCACACCGCCAGGCTCCTGAATTCTGGTTGAACGGCTAACTAGGCGACAGTTTCGAAGTTTTCGGTGAAACAGCTGAATCGTTCTTCAGGATCTTGTTGACCTAGTAGAACTCAAGGCAAACACCTTCGCAGACGCGGAAGTCGCCACCGGCATGGACCACCCGGACCCCACCAGCTCGATGACAGCGGAAGTGGCGTGTGGCTGGGCCCAGACTGTGATAGCAGTATGTGTGAAAGTGGTTTTGCATCTCCTGCCTAGACCTAAGCATTTTGTTATTCCCGCCCTGTTGGCTTGACCGCATTACCTTGTGACCTCCAAGCATCATGAGAAGCGATTAGAATACACAAAGTTTTCTATTGCTAGCTCCTGTGCAGGCCCCGTACAGGAGGAGGTGAGTGAGGTCAAGACACCATTCGATGCCGTGCAGAAGATGGTGCTGCTTGGCCCGTGAAAATGCTGCCGAGCACACAGGAGTCTTAAGCCCGGCATGCGATTGGACGACGAGTTGCCATGATGGATGTCTCAGAGAGTTCAAAGGGTTCAAAGGGTTGGAAGGAACCCGACTGAAAGTATTGGATAATGTGCACTCAAGATGGGAGTGTTGTGCCGAGGCATAACAGCTCCATGGTCGCTTGGCTGTGATTTGGCCCGGCCAGCGGATCCCGAAGCTGTGTTGACTCCAAGAATCAGATGCCTCAAGCAAGTATGAGTGAGTGACTGAGTGAATGAGAGTCGACCTGGGGTGCCCGCCGGCCTACGGAAACGGTCCCTCTCGCCTTTTTGCCCCTCCGCATGTGTCACTAATCAGGGCTCGAGCAAGTCTGGATTTACTCATTTGCAGGGTGCGGCATGCCACAGTTGAGATTGTAGGTATCCCACCGTTAAGACCAGTCTGCTTTTTCGTTTTGTCTTGAATTGAGGGCAAGTAAAAAATTGGTAGCACATTCTCGTTAGAACGTTCGTAGGTTGGCATGGGGCGCTGTCCGGAAAACCTTCACATTCACCCGAGATAACAATACTCTACCTGGCACAACGAAACGAAGAAAGGCATTCCGATCGGGCAGAGGGGGCTGTGGGTAAAGGCGCTCTCCGTTGAGGTGTCGGCGCAGTATAGTCTTGTTTGTTGCTTTTATTCGAGGTGTCTGCACCTCTTCTGGCTCAGGCTTGCGATTAGGCCTTCACCTACGTATCTATACCTACGTACGTACGTTTGTTCTTTGATGCGTACATGCGTACATGTCAGCTCATGTGCGGATGCATACATACAGACAGGGGCAGTAGTCTCGTACTGGTAGATTAATGCCAAGTGGAACGGCTTCACAACAAGCTGGTAACGAGCCAATTAGCCGGCGCCTGCCTTGGGCCGAAGGTCCTTTTGCGACAGTTCGACCTCGATACCAGTCAGCACCCCCATCGGTGGACAGCTGCTCCTTGATCGATCAGGAATGTTCCAGGATGCGCGCTAAAGACATGCTGCTTTTCGTGCTGGGATCTTATACAGCTTGAAGCTGTTGCGGCATCAGGGTCAGGCCCTGCCCTTTTTCCGCTTGGGACATGCCCAGGGCGAAGCTGCATCGAACAGGGACAAGCTCAAGGCGTTTGCCTCATGCCTCATCGCGCATCGACCCTCGGAGTGATCGGATTTGGGGTTTGTCATCCTGTCGTCTTTATTACGTTATTAAACTGCACCGGCAGCAAGTGCTACTTCGAAACATCGTATCTTGCCCGACGGGAAGCTTCCCGGGGCAAACTCAAGCAGCTAGTTAGGCTGAGACGTCAAGATTCAAGAAGACAGGATAAGGAAGATGAAAACCAGAGTGTTTTGAGTTTTGCTGCAGGACAGTTTGAATTCTGCCTCGGCATCTTGATCCTCGCTCACACGGCCACCTCTTCTGAATCTTCGCAGTCGTGCTTGCCCTGTTTAGTGCGGGCCCACTAGTTTCGGCAGGTTGCAAGCAGGATTTTGAGACTTGCCACGTCATCTAGTCTGAAGAGGATAAGCATTGTTTCGATGTTCAATTCATTCCGAACTCGCATGTGTTGCAATTGTCAAATTGGCCAAGACTCATGGGCCCGCGCACACCGAAGTAGGTTTGCATCGGCTTTGACTTGCAGTCCACCCTGGACGGATCCCTGGCTGCATCTGATATCGGACTGTGTGCAGAGATGTGAGAGATCCATCCCAAGACCCTGGTGAAGGCAGCGACTCCCCGGTTTTCATCACGGTGGCAGAGAACGTCTTTTTGCTGGTGTACACCATTGCAACTCAGCGATGAGCTTCAGCCTTTCTCCATCCCCAGCCTATAGGCTGTAATCGAATCCAGTTTGCATTATGTGGCTCGCAGCACAATTCAGCAAACAGGACGAGTAGCCAACATTAAGGTTTGATGAGGTTTGGCAATCCCAGACTGGCATGTCTTTGTTCGGCAATTTTTTGGTGCAAAAGACTGTTCTTCGCAGTGCCCGAGTACAAGACAAGCGGGCTTTTGATCCATTGAGCTGCTTCGCCCGTGCTTCAGGGAAAGCATGCAAGCCGGACATCCTCCAGATGTTTCCAAGGAGTGGGCTCTTCGAGTGCTCTCCATGGGTCGCGGCCTTACATGCGACATCACCGAGCTTGTGCATTCCGCGGATATGCCTCAAGCCCAGCCGTCATGTGCAGCAAGTCGGGAGAGTCACTTGTCACTACTCTTGTGACAAGAGTTGGAGCCATCTGTATGAAGGTTGTTGTGGGTTTTCCTTCCAGATCTCAGCTGTGATAGAAGAAGGCTACTCTAGCTACTAGCTGATTCAGGGCAGCGTCTCCGATCTGACACAAAATGCATGCACGGCATAGCATGTTGATAGCCGATGCAAGGCGAAGCCACCGAAACCCGACCCTTGCACCCCAAACACCGGAGCCGCCGCCAAAGGTTGGTGTGCCTACTACACAGATCCCTGGTGCCTCCTCGACTTCACCCTGCTGGTTTGTGGGGCAACCTGCTGCAAACCAAAATGTCACACTTAAGTCCCAGAAGTAGCCGCTGGGGGCTTTGTTACCGTCACTACCACCGCCACCTAGCAGCGGCAGCACTACCATAACTACCACCTCCACCCCCGCCTCCCACAAGGACATCGTCAAGGAGGACAGGCGGAACAGCATTAGCATGACAAAGGATGGACGACAGCAGTGGCCAAAGGGGCAGCACATGCGTGACGACGAGTCCCAGCTAAGCGGTAGGTTGAGTCGGTCAAGCATACTAGCAGCCCCAACTGCATAGCATCATGCATATGTGCACCAGATGCAATGCCAGTGCCTACCACATCCCTGCCAGGATAGTGATCGTGGTCGTGTTGGTGTCGTGGTCCGGTGTCCTGGTCGATGTGTTTCGGGCGGTGCGGGTCGTCCGAGTCCGACTGGCCCTGGTGGCGTCTATGCTCCTCACGGTCCTGGTTGTTCTTCTGGGTGTTGGTCGTCCTGATTGTGGTGGGGCCGGTGGTGGTGGCGGCGCCGGCAGGAGCAGCGGCCGTGGTGGAGGCGGTGGTTGTGGCGGCATAATCTTGTTACTTCTCCGTGGCACTTGTGCTGGCGATGCTGACGGTGCATATGAGGGTGATGGCGACCGTGGTGATGACGGATGGGGAGGCGCGGCCGACGACAAGCACCGCGAGCATGCCAACTAGGATCTTGCTGGTGATGATGTCAATGTCGGTGATGTTGATGCTTGTGTCTTGCCGACTCCGACTCAGTAGCTGGTAGCCAGCATGTCGAAGCTGCAGCCTTTTCTAGTCACTCCACTAAGGCGATCGGTGGAGTTGTCGTCCCTGTTCTGAGATCCACAGGCACTAGCGGACAGTGCAAGAAGACAAGGTTTGGCCGACGGTTGTATAGACGGTTAAGAATCCGGGTTTGGGACGGTGTGACTCATGAGGTTCTCAGAGCGGTTTACACAAGCTTGGGGCAGTGGTCAGCTGTGTTTATTGCAGACCCATCGTGTGTTACTATGTTCTGTAGTTTAGTATAGGCCTGCAGACTCCGAAGGGTGATTGAGACTAGGGGAAAGGAGGCCCAATGAACGTGCTCGTGCTGCATGCCTGGCTCTGACAGTGCATTTCCGGCCAGGGCAAGATATGGTCTCTCTGGGTTGGCTCCAATCAATATTGGTAATTCGAGCTCTCCGCTTGCTTCTCGGCGCCAATCGGAATTGAAAGCAAGCTGAACATCGGTTAAGTCTGGATAGTTCTCCCAAAACAACGAGATTTATCGTGAAGCCGTGACAGCAACGAGTTGCCACTTTTGGAGGTCCCGTCTGAAAAGCATACGAATCGGCAGGACTGCCATTCGAGGCACCGAGAACTAATTCGGTTGCAGGTCTCTGGCCAAGGAAGCGAACCAAGAACAAAGCGCGAGTCGTCTGTTCACATGCGACTCATGGTCCTGAGATATAACCCACACATCGCCTTAAGAGATGTCCTTCTGAAAACAAGCAACAGTCTTTCTGAGTTTGCTGGCCCTGCCACGACTCGGACTATCTTCATCATCGTGCGGGCATGGAAGCGGCGACAGCGCTGGTGCTTGTAGCATGGACGATATCATCGTGCCGGCATGGATGCGGCGACAGCGCATGTGCTGCTAGCATGGACGATATCTGTGTTACATAGGCGTGCATGGATGCGGCAACAGTGGTTGTGCTGCTAGCATGGAGGTTATCATCGCGCGGGCATGGATGCGGCGACAGTGGATGTGCTGGTAGCATGGACGTTATCATCCTGCCGGGGTGCGGTGACAGTGCATGTGCTGGTAGCATGGATGTTATTATTGTGCGGGCATGGCATAGACATTATCTTCGTGCCGGCATGGATACGGCGACAGTGGATGTGCTGGTAGCAATGATGGTATCATCGTGCCGGCATGGATGCGGCGACAGTGGATGTGCTGGTAGCATTGACGTTATCATCGTGCGGGCGTGGCTATAAGAAGGCCGCTGCGTGACCAGAGTGCTTGCGGCCACGATCTCATGCGTTTACCAGCACGAAAGGCGCGTGCGAAACCTCGAATGTTCCCAACGCAGTGCGCGTGCCGACGAGCGCACATAACCCCCGATGCTGCAACTGCGCGTGAACGGCCGACTGGAGAGAACAACCATGCAACCACCCAACCACTTCCTGAAACGGAACTGTTTATAGGATTCTTTGCGGTGATGTGGAGGTCCAGGCATCAAAATGCAAGCCGCAAAGACGGTCTGACTAGCTTTCCGCAGCTTATTCTCCTGAAGTAGAGGCCGCTACTGAACAGCTTTGGACGAGGACTTCCGCAAGTGCATCTGATGTTTCAGGTGATGGCATACATCACACAGTTCCGGAAATATCGCTTGCGGCAAGCACTAGATCTTGGCACACTGCGCTGCAACCCAAGCTACCGAGGTTACGGCTCGTCCGGGCGCTGCGGGCCTTGACTTACTTCCGAACAGCATCCTGGATTGTCTGGAGAGAGCAAACATAACTCATGCGCTTTCGGGCGTTAGCCAGCCAGTTGTGAAGCCGCTCCGAAGATCCTATAATGACAACCACGAAGATAATGAAGATCGAAGAGAAAAAGACAACATTGAGTGAAGGTGATGCCATCATGCTTTTCTTGACACGTGTTTTCTGCTCATTGCTGTGTTGATTGTGATGCGGATGTGGATCATGATGATAATGGTATGCGATCATGATCACGATGATGTTGACGTGATGATGATGATGATGATGATGAAGATGAGTGTGATGATGATGGTGATGATGATGATGATGGCGATGCATGATGATGATGATGATGATGATGATGATGATGCTGATGATGGCGATCTGGCTGCTTCTGGCTGTTATTACATGAGCGACCTTTGATATGCTGCTGTTGACAGTAATCTTGCTGATCATGGTGATCATCGACATGATGAACTAGAAGTAGGTGAACTCGAAGTAGGTGAACTCGAAGTAGGTGGCCTTGCCTCGTGGAATGTCACTCGTACCAGATTCCCCTGGGTGAACGCATGTCAAGTTTACACGTATGGGCTGGAGTCCGTGCAGTTCTTCAAGACGGGAGGTAGTCGCTACGTGGAGGCGACGTGCTCAGGCAATGCCTGGGGACGAGTGGGGATCAGAAGAGGAAGAAGGGCATGGTTGGTCGGCACTCTGACACAAATGCGGGGCTGCTCTGTGCGCCCTCTCGCTTCGAAACAGAAATACGGAGGTAGTCGTTGGCCGAGGCTCCATCCCATGTCTTGGATTCGACCAACTTTTCCTGGGGGTCAAACGACATACCATGATTAAGCACTGATGATCTTGGTCAGCAGACCCCAGGAACACGAGCATCTTCAGGGTTACACGGTGCATTGTGACATGTATATTATACTTGCTTCTGCCATAAGGTCTGGCGCTTGGTGCACGGACTGCTGACTTCCTGGAATGCTATGTTGTCTACTCTTGCCGGGGTCTCAGCTCAGTGTGGCGCAACCGGCCGAAATGCACAACACACGCCATTCTGGAACATAACCCGCAACTGCAGCGAGCTGTTTCGCACCTGCTGCAAGCATCGGGGGAACAGGGTGGTTTCGCGGTTTGAAGCGATGTAGGCTTGGGGCCTCTCATACTCGGGATGTCAGTTTTGAGCCTTCTAGCCAGGTGGAAGCAGCAGCTGCTGGAAGCTGTTGAGCATCCCGCATGATTTTGTTTTCACGTTCTGCACGGCACGGGTCGTTGCTTGTCACCTCCAGCAGGCGCTCATAACGCTGACACTGTACACATCGGCCTGCATCGCCATAGTGACTCGGCCTGCGGCAGAGGCTTGTGCACCGTGCGCATATGTTCTGCTTGTGACCCAATGGCCCACAACAGGAAGCTGCCGGCGATCTTAAGTTTTTGTCAAAGATCCATCTCAAATCCAATTAGTAAGTTAGACCACTCGTGGCCGCCTCGGGAACCCCGAGCTCTGTAAGGAGATCGTGACGAAGGATGTTGAGCTCAACAGCAACCCCACTACTGCACCAATCGTGCAAGCAAACTTCAGCAGCCGGGACCTCAGCTCAGCTCCTGGGGTTGACCATGGAGCGGGCAATGGCAACTTATAAATGGTCATTCTGCAATCGGAGTTGCCAGCTTTGGCTTGATGTCATCGGTCACAGGCCTTGGAACAACTTTTCTCACTCTGACGCAGTTCGTAGCCCTGGACAGCGCAGCGGCAGTGTACAAGCCGAGTCTTGGTTCGCAGAGTCGACAGAGTTTAGACAAAGTGTTTCTTCCAAGAGCATCTTACGAGCTTCATGCCATCGTAAAGCTTCCGGAGCCGCACACTCGCAGACGGCTGTCAGAGTTATTTGGCTTCCCACCGTAGGGCGGAGTGCCAGGCTTGTAGAGGCGAAGCCTATCCTGATCTTCTACTTCGGCTCCATCGTGCTCTTCGTGTCAATCGCACTGATGTGCCTCGGTTTCCAGCGTGCATGTGGGGTCCTGCGTGTACAGGTTCAGCAGCATGTTCTCCAGACTTTAGTTAGACATGGTAACACTAAGTTCAACAATGCTCCGGTCTCAAGTGTGAGTTGCTGGTTCCGGTGTCGTACGACGAGAAGCGTGCTCCCCTGTACATTGTGACTGGTCTTTCACTGTGCCGGGCCTGCGCTGGCAAAGTTATGTATTATGTGTTCGTTCGTGCTTGTACAGTTATCTAACGCATAGATGTATACAGATGTAAAGGGACAATTACACACATACACACATGCGGGCACATTCGCGTGCATCGACCTATCTTGTCTTGTGCATCTATCCGTCTATCTATCTCTCGGCCTGTCTGTCTATCCAGCTACTATAATTGCCTGTCTATCTGTCTATCTGTCTATCTATCCATATGTCTATCTATCTTCATCTATCTTCCTGTCTGTCTATCTGTATGTCTATCTATCTATCTGTCTATCTATATCTGTCTATCTATCTATCTATTGATCTATCTTCCTATCTATCTACGGAGAATCTAGCGTAAATGCCAATGTAAATGTAAACTGTATCTGTAGATGCAGATGTATATGTATTCGCATCTGGACGTGGATATGGATGTGGATATGCATGTGGTTATGCATGCATGTATGCACATGTATATGCATTTGTGCATCAATGTATGTACATATATTCTTTTGGATGTGATTGGATGTGTGTCTATATCTGTACGAGTATGTGTATGTGTATATATACGGTACACCCGACGCCGCAAAAGCAAACGGGGACTTATTCACACAGAGTATGAACGTCCAGCCAGTCCATCGGACGGTCAGTTAGTCAGTCAGTAAGCCAGTGCTTTGCTTGTGAGGGCTTGATGGTGTTTGTTGCGTGCGGATAAGAGAGAGAGAGAGAGAGAGAGAGAGACAGAGAGAGAGAGAGAGATATAGAGAGTGTGTGTGTGTGTGTGTGTGTGCGCGTGCGCGTGCGTGTGCGTGTGTGCATGCGTGTATGCATGCTCCCAATGTACCTGCTGCGACTGCAAGCTGCAAAGCCCATGCATTTTTTTTACATAATTACTCTTCGCACCTGCAAGAGCGAGTCTTGGACAGTTGGCTCGGACTGCCAAGGTGGTGTCACATGAAGCAATGTAAGGCTAAAGCGCATGCCAAGTGACATACAGACCTGTCATTGTCACTCCCGTAAACTCGACTAAGTTGTCAAGCACATGGTTTGTGAAAGACCTCGGGCATCAGTTTGGAGTTCGAGAGTCCAGAGTGGTAGGGAAGTCATGGCAATGGTGCAGGATAGCATGAGTGATCTGTGCCCGAACGCGGCACTTTGTTGTCCATTGACCAGCTCCAACGCACAAAGCCAATCTATCCCTTCACAGTTGTGGCGCCATATTCGGTAGCTCCAGACGCAGACAACACCTCAGTGAGGAATCTCGTGACGGCGGTGCTGGTGGAAGGCTTCTTTGATGTAACATTGAGGTTTGATACCTCGATTGCGGTACGGATGACATCAGTGTTTTCTTCACCAAGGCTTGCAATCGACCTTCGTTTGTTTCTCTTGCCTTCTGCAAAAGAAGGGGAATCGGAAGCAATGGTGTACTGCTTGAACTCTGAGAAGTCTGATGCTGAATGGTGTTCCATCTCATTGCAAGTTTCGCCAGTCCAAGTTCACCTTTGACCATCTTGTCAGTGTCTCTTGCCTGCTGCCATGCTCAGTCGGGTGCTATGGCCGTTGCAGGTGCGCTGAACCATGCTCAGTCCGATCGGGACCTCGAGAAGATCGACCGAAACGAGCGTGACTCGACTAATCGAGCTCGTGTCTGCGCGGGCAGGTGGGGGGGGGGGAATCGGCATGTCTTGAATGCGGTGCTTTCTCAAGCACGCTTCCAGTTACAGCCGTCGTAGGCTTGTGCTCCATGGACAATCACATGCGAGGTTTGAGCAAAGCCCTCACCCGCCTGGTCGTGTTATTTGGCGCAGCGTGGCAGCAGCCTTGCCAGCTGTTGAGGGTTCTAGTCTGTGTGTATGTTTGTGAGGGCGCAGCTCCTCCAGCCCAGCAGGTTCTACTCGTACAGGCATTCTACGGCACAACTGTTCACCGAGCCGAGCGCCTGAATGCCACTGTCAGCGGAATGTTTCCGACCATGCTGAGGACATGGACAAAAACGGCGATGGTACCGTCACGCTGGAGGAGATGCAGGCCTCCGGAGACTCGGAGCAGTCGCAGTCCAGTAAAAAACCTTCGTGTCGTCTCTGGCCTCGAGGAAAGTTAAGCACCTGTAGGACTGTGCAGGCAGGACCGAAGGAAGTCCACCTGGGTGCAAGTGCTCACGAGCTGCCACGCTGCTGCTTCTGCCTGCCAGGCTTGCATGCGAGGATTGGCTACAGTATCCTGTCCGACATGCAATCAGGTCATTGACAGCAGACGACAGCGTCTGAGGTATATATATATATATAAATATAAATATATGACCCTGACCTAGAGGCATTGGCATCCCTGAATGTTCGCACTTGCTGCAGGGTGTGGGTCTCTCTCTCTATAGATATATATATATATATACACACACACACACCAGTGCGATAGATACGTACTCTAATCGCAACTTCTTGTGTCCTACGTGCGAGCATGATACCATCGTCGTCTTCAGCCCAGCCCTCATCAGTCCTGTAGAATGCCATGCAGGCGGTGCCTCCAAATCTGCTTCCACCCGAAATCTTTGAGAATGACCTGGCAGTCACGATCGCGGAGGCACACGAATTAATTTGAAATTCCGGATACTCGATTTAGAACAGACTTCGGGCATGTGGCGTGCAGGGAGGTCAAGGAGCGCATTTGGACTGTCTACCTTAGGCATCCGGAATCGAGTTTTGGATCGTGGCTTGAAGGCTTTTGCAAGCTGTGGATTCCGCTTCCGTGGGCTTCCGAAGTCCGCCCCAGGTGTGATTACTTACCTTACTTGCTACATCTGCTTAAGAGGAAATGCCGGGATGGAGCTGCAAGATCCTTGCAGACAGAAGTCCTTCCCCAGCATGTTCTCAAGCCTTCACCAGCAAGACCAAGTTAGACAAAGACAAAGAGAACGGAGAGGTCTTTCAAGTCTTGGATGTCGACGATCAGGGCACGCTCGACCAGCGAGAGCCACTCAATGTGATTTGGACGCTTGAGCAGGAGCAGTCCTGGTAACCCCTTCTTTCTGATCCATGCTATTGTGGCATGTCAGTATCTTTTGAGTTTGGAGGATGTCGCTTGAGGTGATCGGAGAGCTTTCCACTTGTGTTGCCATGTTTACACCGGCAATCAGCCATGAAGTCTTCTTGCACCTAGGTTCGTTGAGGGCCTGCTTGCGGTTTACCTCCAAGATATGCCACTGGCGCAGCTGGAAACGCTGAAGCTCCTTCAGAAGCAAAACCGCAGCATGGAAGTAGAACAGGTTTGGATGGTTGCTTTTGGCCGACTGGGCGTCTTGCGTCTCCCAGCATGCTTGTCGCCGGAAATTACACAAAGGCTGAAATCGTGTAACTGTACCGAAGAGCTGCATGCAGTTCACAGGCAGAACAACCGGCTGGATGAGATTTACAAGGCCCAAGGGCTTCTGCAAGTTGGTTAGCAGAGCGGGAAGGTCACGGCTTCGACTACTTCGATTGGGTTTCGTTGTCGGATCTGATGTATGTGGTTAGCCTGCTGCATCCATAGCTTGTCTGAGCTAGCGGGCAGTCCATGCAGCCGCAGCCAGATTCCAGTCCAGCGGCATTTTCCTGGGCAGCTTCAGACATGAGGTAAGCAACAGATCAGCGGGGCCGCACATGATTGAACATGTGCAAACTTCGCAGTCGAGGGAGCAATAACAGTGTATCATGGCTTCATGGCACTGCTTGAAAACCAACGGCGCTAAATAAGTTAATCAGTTAATCTCTTCCGGATGCCCTGTTCTAGATCTAAGTTGCAGGTCCTTCGGCCACGATGCCAAATGTCAATGAAGGACCAGCCCACGGTGGCGGCTTCTTTGAAGGATTTGCGAAGCATTTTGATCCACGCTAGGTCTCTCGCGTAGCCTGCAATCGACCTGACCGCGCTTTTTCGCATGTGTTCTAAATGTATAATCTGCCAGCTGCGAGCCTTTTCTCTGTCAGAGTTCGGCACTGCCTGGGTAAATGGCGGAGACAGACCACCAGCTGCCGTCAGTGTGAGGTTTGACAACGACGGCGCCACGTTCTTTATCCACGGCTGCCGAGTCCATTGGTCTTTAAATCTATAGTGACATCGGAGAGGTTACAGAGGGGGTGCTAAGGCTCACCCTCTCTCAAGCCTTGGAAGAGGGAGAGAGATCGGCTGCGATACTCGATTATACATACCTGCATTTCAACAAATAAAGAGCAACAAATAAATAAATGAATGAATGAATGAGTATATATATATATATATAGATGTAGATATAAATACGTACATACGTATATAGAAAATATCGAAAATATGTATAAGCACATACGTGCACACACGCTCACAGACACACAGAGCTTGATCCGTTAGAGTCTCCAGGCCCTCATTGTCTTTGGCATGCAGGAGGAAGCCAAGGGTTGCTTCCTCTTTTGGCCTGGCACGCAAGAAGTCTGCCGGTTTCCCCGCTGGTCGTGAGGAACCAAAGGGGGGGCCGACCTCGAAGACATTTCATGCGGGTTCGTCATCCCCACACCCATTCAAAGCCCATGAGGGTCCCAGAATGGTTGCAAGGGTGACCCCTGTGTGCAGTTGAATTCGTCACGACCGATTGCTCTTCATGAGCACGGCCGTGGCTCCTGTTTGTGAGCATGACTGAATGGCCATGTCTCGATACAGCATCGGCTTCTCCGGAGATGTCTTGCTGCGAAGAAGCCGAACACCCCTGGCTGATCTGGTTCGAACCGCGCCGGGACAAAAGCGACAATCACCCCCTCAGGATTTTTGCTAGAAGTGGCCTGCGTAACTCCGAGTTGGTCGCTCTGTTCAGATACAGCAGGACTTCAAGTCAACCCTGAGTGGAGCTCATAGCAGAAAGGGACTTCAGAATTCAGGGAAGAATGGTCCCGCTGAACAACGACGAGCCTAGATGCTCCAGCCACGATCGCGAGCGCTTTTTGAAGCTTCAGTAGGGATTCAGGTTCTCTCAGTTGACACCTTCCCTCGCATCAAGATAGCAGCACTGAGGGTGATGCTGCCTATTGCGGCTGTCACGCCACGGCAGGCCGGGAAAGTCAGTGTGAAGCATAATTGTATGTCCATATGAAATAAATGAATACATTTATGTACATATATATATATA